TCAGGTCATTTAAGGACTTCTCTACATTGATTATTCTAGTTAGCCATTTGTCAAATCTTTTTTCAAGGTTTTCAGCTTCTTTGCGATGGGTTTGAACTTCCTCCTTTAGCTCGGAGAGGTTTGATCAAGTGAAGCCGCCTTCTCTCAACTTGTCAAAGTCATTCGCCGTCCAGCTTTGTTCCATTGCTGGCGAGGAGCTGCATTCCTGTGGAGGGGGAGAGGCGCTCTGATTTTTAGAATTTTCAGCTTTTCTGCTGTGTTTTTTCCCCATCTTTGTGGTTTTATCTATCTTTGGTCTTTGATGATGGTGACGTACAGATGGGGTTTTGGTGTGGATGTCCTTTCTGTTTGTTAGTTTTCCTTCTAACAGTCAGGACCCTCTCAGCTGCAGATCTGTTGGAGTTTGCTGGAGATCTGCTCCAGATACTGTTTGGCTGGGTATCAGCAGTGGAGGCTGCAGAAGAGTGAGTATTACTGAACAGTAAATGTTGCTGTCTGATCCTTCCTCTGGAAGCTTTTTCTCAGAGGGGTTCCTGGCTGTGTGAGGTGTCACTCTGCCCTTACTAGGGGGTGCCTCCTGGTTAGGCTACTCAGGGGTCAGGGACCCACTTGAGGAAGGCAGTCTGTCGGTTCTGAAATCTCAAACTTGGTACTGGGAGAACCACTACTCTCTTCAAAGCTGTCAGACAGGGACATTTAAATCTGCAGAGGTTTCTGCTGCCTTTTGTTTGGCTCTGCCCTGTCCCCGGAGGTGGAGTCTACAGAGTCAGGCAGGCCTCCTTGAGCTGTGGTGGGCTCCACCCAGGTTGAGCTTCCTGGCCACTTTGTTTACCTAGTCAAGCCTCAGCAATGGCGGACGCCCTTCTGCCAGCCTTGCTGCCACCTTGCAGTTAGATCTCAGTCTGCTGTGCTAGCAATGAGGGAGGCCCCATGGTCGTGGGACCCTCCGAGCCAGGTACGGGATATAATCTCCTGGTGTGCTGTTTGCTAAGACCCTTGGAAAAGCGCACTATTAGGGTGGGAGTGACCCGATTTTCCAGGTGCTGTGAGTCACGATTTCCCTTGGCTAGGAAAGGTAATTCCCTTACCCCTTGCACTTCCCGGGTGAGGCGATTCCTCGCCCTGCTTCGGCAATCGCTCGGTGGGCTGCACTTACTGTCCTGCACCCACTGCCCAACACGCCCCTGTGAGATGAACCTGGTACGTCAGTTGGAAATGCAGAAATCACCCGTCTTCTGTGTCACTCACACTGGGAGCTGTAGCCTGGAGCTGTTTCTATTCGGCCATCTTGGAACCGCCTAAAACTATCATCAGAGAATATTATAAACACCTCTACACAAATAAACTAGAAAACCTAGAAGAAATGGATAAATTCATGGACACATACACTCTCCCAAGACTCAACCAGGAAGACTAAACCAGTTGAATCCCTGAATAGACCAGTAACAAGTTCTGAAATTGAGGCAGTAATTAATAGCCTACAAACCAAAAATAGTCCAGGACCAGAGAGTTTCATAGCTGAATTCTACCAGAGGTACAAAGAGGAGCTGGTACTATTTCTTCTGAAACTATTCCAATCAATAGAAAAAGAGGGAATCCTCCCTAACTTGTTTTATGAGGCCAACATCATCCTGATACCAAAGCCTGGCAGAGACACAAGAAAAAAAGAGAATTTTTGACCAATATCCCTGATGAACATCGATGGAATAATCAGTAAAATACTGGCAAGCCGAATCCAGCAGCACGTCAAAAAGCTTATCCACCATGATCAAGTGGTGAAACTAGCAAGGCTGGTTCAACGTACTCAGATCAAGAAATGTAATCCAGCATATATACAGAACCAAAGACAAAAACCACATGATTATCTCAATAGATGCAGAGAAGGCCTTTGACAAAATTCAGCAGCCCTTCATGCTAAAAACTCTCAATAAATTCGGTATTGATGGAACGTATCTCAAAATAATAAGAGCTATGTATGACACACCCACAGCCAGTATCATACTGAATGGGTAAAAACTGGAAACATTCCCTTTGAAAACTGGCACAAGACAGGGATGCCCTCTCTCACCACTGCTATTCAACATAGTGTTGGAATTTCTGGCCAGGGCAATCAGGCGGGAGAAAGAAATAAAGGGTATTTAATTAGGAAAAGAGGAAGTCGAATTGTCCCTGTTTGCAGATGACATGATTGTCTGTTTAGAAAACCCCATCATCTCATCCCAAAATCTCCTTAAGTTGATAAGCAACTTCAGCAAAATCTCAGGATTCAAAATCAATGTGCAGAAATCACAAGCGTTCTTATACACCAGCAACAGACAAACAGAGAGCCAAATCATGAATGAACTCCCATTCACAATTGCTTCAAAGAGAATAAAATACCTAGAATCCAACTTACAAAGGAAGTGAAGGACCTCTTCAAGGAGAACTACAAACCACTGCTTAATGAAATAAAAGAGGACAGAAATAAATGGAAGAACATTCCATGGTCATGGATGGGAAGAATCGGAATTGTGAAGATGGCCATAGTGCCCAAAGTAATTTGTAGATTCAGTGCCATTCCCATGAAGCTACCAATGACTTTCTTCACAGAATTGGAAAAAAACTACTTTAAAGTTCATATGGAACCAACAAGGAGCCCTCATTGCCATAACAATCTTAAGGCAAAAGAAAAACCTAGAGGCTTCATGCTACCTGACTTCAAACTATACTATATGGCTACAGTAACCAAAACAGCATGGTACTGCTACCAAAATGGAGATATAGACCTATGGAACAAAAGAGAGCCCTCAGAAATAATACCACACATCTGCAACCATCTGATCTTTGAGAAACCTGACAAAAACAAGAAATGGGGAAAGAATTCCCTATTTAATAAATGGTGCTGGGAAAACTGGCTAGCCATAAATAGAAAGCTGAAACTGGATCTCTTCCTTACACCTGACATGAAAATTAATTCAGAATGGATTAGAGACTTAAATGTTAGACCTGAAACCATAAAAAATCCTAGAAGAAAACCTAGGCAATATCATTCAGGACATAGGCATGGGCAAGGACTTCATGACTAAACCACCAAAAGCAATGGCAACAAAAGCCAGAATTGACAAATGGGATCTAATTAAACTGAAGACCTTCTGCACAGTAAAAGAATCTACCATCAGAGTGAACAGGCAACCTACAGAATGGGAGAAAATTTTTGCAATGTACTTATCTGACAAAGCGCTAATATCCAGAATCTGCAGAGAACTCAAACAAATTTACAAGAAAAAAACAACCCCATCACAAAGTGGGCGAAGGATATGAACGGACCCTTCTCAAAACAAGACATTTATGCAGCCAACAGACACTTGAAAAAATGCTCATCATCACTCGCCAACAGAGAAATGCAAATCAAAACCACAATGAGATACCATCTCACACCAGTTAGAATGGCGATCATTAAAAAGTCAGGAAACAACAGGTGCTGGAGAGGATGTGGAGAAATAGGAACACTTTTACACTGTTCGTGGGACTGTAAACTAGTTCAACCATTGTGGAAGACATTGTGGCGATTCCTCAAGGATCTAGAACTAGAAATATCATTTGTCCCAGTCATCCCATTACTGGGTATGTACCCACAGAATTATAAATCACGCTGCTATAATGATACATGCACATGTATGTTTATTGTGGCAATGTTCACAAATAGCAAAGACTTGGAAACAACCGAAATGTCCCTCAATGACAGACTGAATTAAGAAAAAGTGGCACATATACACCATGGAATACTATGCAGCCATAAAAAAGGATAAGTTCATGTCCTTTGTGGGGACATGGATGCAGCTGGAAATCATCATTCTCAGCAAACTATCACAAGAACAGAAAACCAAACACCGTATGTTCTCACTCATAGGTGGGAATTGAACAATGAGAGCACTTGGACACAGGAAGGGGAACATCACATACCAGTGCCTGCCATGGGGTTGGGGGAAGGGGAGGGATAGCATTAGGAGATATACCTAATGTAAATGACGAGTTAATGGGTGCAGTACACCAACGTGGGACTTGTATACATATGTAACAAACCTGCACGTTGTGCACATGTACCCTAGAACTTAAAGTATAATAAAACTTTAAAAAATAAGAAAAATAAATTAGGGTTGACTGTTGCTGTTAGTGTCTTGCTGATTTTGGACTCTGTTTTTACAAATCTGTAATGACACATCCATCATTATACATGTTTCACTGCCCTAAAAATCTTCTGTGATAGCATGTTTATCCCTTCCACCCACTAATTACTAGGTATTTAGTTACCAGGTATTCTTTTGTTTTTTTGAGAGGGAGTCGGAGTCTTGCTCTATCGCCCAGACTGGAGTGCAGTGGTGTGATCTCGGCTCACTGCAAACTCTGCCTCCCGGGTTCACGCCGTTTTCCTGCCTCAGCCTCCTGAGTAGCTGGGACTACAGGCGCCCATCACTGCACCTGGCTAATTTTTTTTATTTTTGGTAGAGACGGGGTTTCACCGTTTTAGCCAGGATGATCTCGATCTCCTGACCTTGTGATCCGTCCGCCTTGGCCTCCCAAAGTGCTGTGATTACAGGCGTGAGCCGCCGCGCCCGGTCCACCAATTCGTTTACTGTCTCCATAGTTTTGCCTTTTCCAAAATGTCATATGGTTGGAATCATGCAGTATGTATCCTTTTCAGATTGGCTTCTTTCTTAATAATATGTATTTAAGGTTCCTTCATGCGTTTTTAAGGCTTTCAAGCTAATTTTAATGCCAAATAATATTTCATTGTGAGGATGTGCATAGTTTATTCATTTACTTAGTGAGAATATCATGGTTCTTCCAAGGTTTGGCAGTCATGAATAAAACTGCTATAAACATCTGTGGACATTAGTTTTAAGCTCATTTGGGTAAATGCCAAGTAATGTGATCACTGGTAATGGTGTGGATTGATTGTAGTTTATGAATTCTGTCATCCCCATTTTATTTTAAAGTAATTTCTTTTTTTTAATTGACAGGATTGCCTTTGAGGTTGTTTTAAAAGTTTTTGAGTTGTACAGCACTTGATTATTTTGCTGCATTGTGAAAGGACCTCTCCAGCAATGATTACTTCAGAATTACCAGTGTTGCAGTAAGTATTGTAATTTTCTTTTTTTTTTTATTTTTTAAGGAAAATTTTGGGCCACTTATTTCTTTATGAAAATGCTGTCTTTGATGAGACATTTCAAATATGTTCTTTGATACTGGGACAATATGTTTGCAGTCTGAGTAGTAGTAGGGTGTGTAATAACCATATCCATTCATGGCTTTTGCTATTGAACTGTCAACATGTTTTCTGATAGTCAACAAAAAAATGTTAATGTCCTATATCAGGAGTCAGCAGACTGTGGCCCATGGGCCAAATCTGGCATGTTGTCTCTTTTTGCAAAATAAAATTTTGGATGAGAGCCGCACTTATTCCTTTATATACTGTTTATGACTACTTTGTATTACAAGTTGTGACAGTGATAGTATTGTCAGGAAAGCCTAAAATATTTAGTTTGACCATTTACAAAAAATAGTTTGGTGTCCCCTATCTTATACCGTACTCCTTCTCTGTCCCCTCCCTGCTTGCTTCTAGCTCCTTTATTATGATTCTTTCTTTTTCCTTAGATTGAGATTGTTGAGGTGTTCTGGCTACCAGAATAAGTCTAAGGGATATACCAGTTGACATTTTTGATGGCATCCCATTAGATTTGTTGGAGTTATAGGAAAGATTTAGAATTGGCCCTTTCCGCCATCTTTCCGCGCCGCCACAATGGTGCGCATGAATGTCCGGGCTGATGCTCTCAAGAGCATCAACAATGCCGAAAAGAGAGGCAAACGCCAGGTGCTTATTAGGCCGTGCTCCAAAGTCATCGTCCGGTTTCTCACTGTGATGATGAAGCATGGTTACATTGGCGAATTTGAAATCATTGATGATCACAGAGCTGGGAAAATTGTTGTGAACCTTACAGGCAGGCTAAACAAGTGTGGAGTGATCAGCCCCAGATTTAATTTGCAACTCAAAGATCTAGAAAAATGGCAGAATAACCTGCTTCCATCCCGCCAGTTTGGTTTCATTGTACTGACAACCTCAGCTGGCATCATGGACCATGAAGAAGCAAGACGAAAACACACAGGAGGGAAAATCCTGGGATTCTTTTTCTAGGGATGTAATACATACATTTACAAATAAAATACCTCATGGACAAAAAAAAAAAAAAAAAAAAGATTTAGAATTGGAACTTATTTTTATTTTTTATTTTCTTTTGAGATGGAATTTCCCACTGTTGCCCAGGCTGGAGCACAGTGGTACGATCTCGGCTCACTGCTACCTCCGCCTTCCAGGTTCAAGCGATTCTCCTGCCTCATCCTCCTGAGTGGGTGGGATTACAGGCACGTGCCACCATGCCCGGCTAATTTTTGTATTTTTAGTAGAGACGAGGTTTCACTATGTTGGCCAGGCTTGTCTTGAACTCCTGACCTCAGGTGGTCTGCCCGCCTCAGCCTCCCCAAGTGCCGGGATTACATGCGTGAGTCAGTGTGACTGGCCAGATTTAGAATTGGGACTATTTTGGGAAATATGATTGCAGGAATGGGAGATATTATTCCTTTCATAGCTTTTATCATGATGCAAATCGGGAATCTGCATACTTTGATTCTCTATGATAGCAATGGTTTAGATATAATAAAAGTGATGAGCACTTTAAGCAGTTATTTATATATATTATTGCTGCTCAATTTATTTACATACCTTATTTTCAAGAGAGAACCTGTGTTTGATCTCTTGGTCTTCTTTTTTCCCTTCCAACGTTCTAAGACAAAAAGCTATCCATATTTCTTTAAACTGCTTGAGAAACCATCAATACTGTCCTCCTGTCCTTTCCCTGACATATGGGAGATAAAATTTATTTCTGCCTACTTATTTCTTTTTTACCCCTGGACCTGAGCTTGATATCATATATATATATATATATATATATATGAACATATGTTAATATGGTATAAATACCATATTTATGTGATATTTAAGTTTGGAGTTCCCCCTATAGTATTTTCTTTCTTTTCTTTGTACTTACGCACTTCTGCCCTTACCTGGCCAAGCCACTATCTATTTAAGTCTTAGCTCAGGTGTTATGCCTCCAGCAAAGTACTTAATGTAACATTTTATAACCATCTCTTTTTTTTTTCTGACCCATCTCCTAAACTGCATTGTGGGCCTTATTTTTGTATGTCCTACTGCTAGGACACTGTTGGGTATTAGTCAGGCCTTTAATAGCTCTTTGATAAAATATGAAATAGAGGTCATATTTAAATTGAAGTTGTATTACATGAGTTTGTATTAACATTATGATATCTAATGTATCATGCTTTGTAAGTGAATTTTTTTCAGAAAAATGTAAATCTGTAATATGTTTGTGGGTACTGGACAGTGGTGATCTGGGAACTGGGTAAATGAGCTCTGGTTTAGATCTGTCAGCTGAAGACAGTACTCTTGGTTAAACTGAGATGTCTAATTTTGGTTTTTAACGTGTAGACGCTATAAAGACCACTCTAGTGCTTATCCTTATTATTTCTTGGCTTACTTAGATATTATAATTGCTGATGGATTTGTGACCTTAGTGCTGTTTACTGTTAAGCATTGTCAAAACATTATCATTTACTACATTTTTATCTTCCTGGAAGTATACTAGGTTCTGGGTAGATACAACATGTAGAACAGACTTAGTTCTTTTTGCCATGAAGCTTGTAAAGGTAGATATAAATAAAATAATCACAAATACATAGTTCTGAACTATCATTGGTGCTGTGAAGGAAAAGTAGGTATTATGAGAATTTTAATACATGCCTTTGTTTAGTCTAGTTTTCTGAGGAAGAGACAGTTGAATTGAGGTCTGTAGTGGGGTTTAGGGGAAGAAGAAGGGAGACCAGATGAGATTATGTCATGCAAGGACCCTGAGATATGTTTGAAGGCCTGAAATAAAGCCTCCCCCAACTGTCCCCGGCTTTTTTTTTCCTCCAGCACTGGGGATGGAGAGTGACATGAGATAAACTGTGAGTAGGGAGGAACAATATCATATCCGTACCTGCTAAGTCATGTTCAGAATTAGGTTTTTTTCTCTTCACTGTGTGTATTATTCCATGTTCACACTGCTATAAAGAACTACCAGGAACTGGGTAATTTATAAATATAAGAGGTTTAGTTGACTCATGGCATGGCTGGGGGGGCCTCAGAAAACTTAAAATCATGGCGGAAGGTGAAGGGGAAGCAAACACCTTCTTCACAACACGGCAGGGGAGAGAGAAGAGTGGAAGGAAGTGCCACACTTTTAAACCTTCAGATCTCATGAGAACTCACTATCACAAGAGCAGCATAGAGGAAATTGCCCCCATGATCCAGTCACTTCCTAGCAGGTCCCCCCTCGACAGGTGGGGATTACAATTCGAGATGAGATTTTGGTGAGGACACAGAGCCAAACCATATCAGCATGATAGAGATATAATAAGATACATACTTAGAAAATTACTTAGTGTAGTATAATATTAGATGGGAAAGGCCAACACTAGAAACAAGGACACCTATCAGGAGAAGGATATTGCAGTATCTAGGGAAAAGATGATAACTTAAACGAGTTACCCTGGAGATAGAGAGAGGTAGACAGAATTTAGAGAGTTCTAGGGAGCAAAATCATTTTTTATATAAGATTTGATGTTATTCTTCCATGCTCTTAATTTATGTCTGGTAGTGTTACAAATGTGAACATTAGCCATTTGCAGGAGTTTTGAAGAGCAGTTAGTCAAAGTTTGAATTTCCATACCCCTTGACCTGTCATTTTCACTGCATATGTCCTAGAGAGAAACTGGATTGTGTAATAAGATTTATTTATGTACAAGAACAGTCATTTCAGCCCTGTTCGTAGTAGCGGAAAACTAGAGACAAACTAAATGCTCAATGATTGGGAAGTAGTTAAATAAGTTCTGTGCATATTATGGAGTGCCATTCAGGAATCTAATGTATTTATATGGAAGATTCACATGTATTTAACACTTAAAAAATGAAATATTGGTATTTATATTTTGAGAGAGAGAGACAGAGACAGAGAGATGTAAAAGCCTAAATATTTATGGCAGTGTCAAACTATTAACAGTGGTATTCTGCAAATGAGATTCAGAGTTAGGATGAGATAAAGTGAAACTTTTCCTTGTATTCTTGTATCTTTTCTATTGCTCGAAATTTTTTTTTAAAAGCCTAGAATTTGTTTTCATATGTCTTAATAATTAAACATACACATACTAACACATAACAGTGCATTAGCTGTTTGTTGGCAATAGTTCTCACTGTTTAAGCTGACTGCAATTGGAAGCATTATTAAACAAATTGTACTTTTCTGACTCTTGGTAGGGGCATCAATACCTATACTGCTGAAGAATAGGTTAGTTTCACTAATGGGTCACTTATTATATTCTAGAACCAACCTGCTCCTGTAGTTGCCTGGAGACTTATAAGCATCAGAAGCACTTGGAGATTTTGTCCACACAAGATAAATACAAAACATAATATTTGCATTGTATCTTAACATGAAAATAGAAAATTCAGGTTTATCTTGAGATCTAACTGGACTCTGCCAGTTACTAAGTGTGCAACTGTGGACAACTTTATCAGGTTTTCAGATCTTTCATTTCCTCATTCAAAAAATTGGGAAGATAACTTGCTTCTTACAAGGTTTTTGTGCATATGTATTCTAGATAACATATGTAAACTGACACACAGTCTATACTGAACATGGCCTGTTTGGATTGTAGTGAGGAGAAAAAGCAATATGATTTACTGTTCTTTAGTAGAGACAAATAAGATTGACTGGATCCAGGTTGGCAAATACTGCTAGTGGTTCAGATGCACCTTTTAAATAAAATGTTGAAACATAGCCACACCCATTAATTTGCATATTGCCTTTGGCTGCATTTATGGTATGTCACCAGGGTTGGGTAGTAGCTATAGAGAACTTAAGACCTATAAGCCTCAAATATATACAGTATGATTTTGTGGTTTTTTTTTTTGCGTGTGTGGTGTTTTTTTTTTTTTTGAAATGTAGTCTCGCTATGTTGCTCAGGCTGGAGTGCAGTGGTGTGATCTTGGCTTGGCCAACCTGCGCTTCCTGGGTTCAAGCGATTCTCCTGCCTCAGTGTCCCAAGTAGCTGGGACTACAGTTGCACGCCACCATGCCCAGATAATTTCTGTATTTTTGGTAGAGACAGGGTTTCACTATGTTGGCCAGGTAGGTCTCAAACTCCTGACCTTATGATCTGCCCACCTTGGCCTCCCAAAGTGCTGGGATTACAGGCGTGAGCCACCAGGCCCGGCTGTATGGTTCTTTATGAAAAAGCTTGCTGACCCTGGACATCATTTACAATATTATTTATAGTTTTTTGTTGTTGTTCTGTTTGTTTTTGAGACAGAGTTCTACTCTGTTGCCCAGGCTGGAGTGCAGTGGTGCTATCTCTGCTCACTGCATCCTCCACCTCCCAGGTTCAAGCGATTCTCATGCCTCAGCCTCCATAAGTGTTGGGATTACAGGCGTGAACCACTGTGTCCGGTCTTATTTACAGTTTTAAATACCAGATTAACTTTAAAGATTTGTAAGTGGTGGAGTAACTTTGAAGATTTACAAGTGGGTAAGTAATGTGATGTGAGAGTGTTACTGGCAGTGGTGTGTAGAATGGCTTGAATAAGCAGAAATAGGGAGATAAATTGAGATCGTATCATGGGGAGTGGTGATTGTGGTAGTAATGCTGGAAGGAGTGAGAAACAAATTATATTGTGCTGAGAAGGATGACTGAGGTAGGATTATATTAGCAGGAGGCACAAGAAGACTGATATCATTCTATCAGTTCGAATTTATGGACAGGATAATGGTGACAATAAATGTGTATAGTAACTTAAATCTTATGCATAACTTAAATCAGTTAATTAATTGTATCTCTCTGAGTAGAAAGCCAGAAGTAAGTCAGGATTGGACTTAATTTTAGATGTGGCATTTGGTGAATTTGAGGTGGCATTCAAGTAAGCATGTCACGTGTGCAAGATAAAAATCTTGAGTCAGAGATCTGGAATGTGGTCGGGTGTACTGATAGGTATTGAAGTCATTTGCATAGAAGGTACATGTTAACTGGATGAAATCTCCAAGGGAGTGTAATATAAATGGAGAAGGGCAGACCTAACAGTTGAGCTTTAAGGAAGAGGGAATGAGCCTAAAAGAGCATTTGGTGAAGGAGATTGAGAAATAGTAGATTGTGAGTTGGACTTACCATTTGCTATATACTTTTCCTACTCTTTACAATTTTATGTAGTAACGTAGAATTTAGTGAAGAGATTCTTGTTTGTGCTGTCTAAACCTTTTCAATGCTGTGTTGAAGTCAGCTTGTATTGGCCTGTGAGAGTCCAATATTAAATTTGCAGGAATTTTGCAAGCTAGCTAAACACAACATATCTGTTTTTAAAAGTTAACTTATATAAGCTTAAATTAAATGTCATATGAAAAATAAAAATAGTAAATATTCAAAACTGATCACTTCCTAATTATTTCATGTTATTATTTATGCTCTTGAAGTTGTTATTTAAACCTGTTGTGTCTTTGTGATAGAAATATGTTTTAATGCTGTACTACTGTTTATCACTTCCCAGCTCACTTTGGTTATACCACTTTGGGCATTTGAAATTGGCTATGGTAAGAATATGTACACCATGAAAATCAGCAAATGATAAAAATCAACGCTTAATTTATTGTTTTGTTGATTATGGACTTAAGAAAGTGATAGAGAAATTGTTAACAATGCAGATTCAACTTAAAGGTGTATCGGATGGTCTATACCCATTACAATACCAATAACAAAAAATTGAGGAAGCATTTTTCCTCAGCCGTTATCTGAGTCAGCAGAGAAGTTGCTCACACCATTGACTAATGAGTGAAGTTTCAACAAATGTCTTTATCATTTTACTTGCATCCTACTCATTAAAGTGAGCAAAAATAGAAACCACCTTTCATGTTAAAATTCCTATTCATTCATCAGTTGCACCTGTAGGTTAGATTCCAATATAAGAGTTGGGCAAAAATTATCTTTAAAATTATTTTGTGAGAATCAGTTGGTTACGTGGAATTTACAATAAAGAATTTACAATAAAGTATTTTGTGTTTTATTATTGTTTGTAAATTATGTGCTAAGCATCCTTTATGTCTTTTTTGTTTTGTTTGGTTTTTATTCAGAGTATCGCCCTGTCACCCAGGCTGGAGTGCAGTGGCATAATCTCAGCTCACTGCAACCTCTGTGGGTTCAAGTGATTCCCTTGCCTCAGCCTCCTGAGTAGATGGGATTACAGGCACGTGTCACCACGCCTGGCTAATTTTTGTATTTTTAGTACTAATGTGGTTTTACTCTGTTGGCCAGACTGGTCCCAAATTCCTGATCTCAGGTGATCCATCCGCCTCAGCTTCCCAAAGTGCTGAGATTATAGGCATGAGCCACTGTGCCCGGCCATATGTCTTAATACTTATAACTTAGGTGTTTGTATTTTTTTTTTTTTTTGAAGAGCCAGTTAACTGGCACAACACTGATCTTCATGACTTTATAAGATAAATAAAAATCTTCCTAAGCCTTCATATTTTTATACTGAAGAATTAGTCTTTTGCAATTATATTTTGCATTTATTTTTGTATAGCAGCTATCATTTCCACAGTTATTTCTTCCTCTTCATTTCCCTCTTTAGTTGGGGGATTCATTTCACTTACTGTCATGTGAAATTAGGAAGAGAGGGTAACATTTTTAGTTTGCTAAAGAGTTTTTTTGAAAGTAGAAGTATAAACCACTTCTAATCAGCCATACAGCAGGAGGTAAGGAAAGTAGTGAAACAGAAATGCATTATACTTACTAATTTGTTCACTAAAATAATATAATAACATTTTCTAGGGATTCAACTAATGAAACTACTGCCCATTCCGATGCTGGCAGCGAACTTGAAGAAACAGAGGTCAAAGGAAAAAGAAAAAGGGGTCGTCCTGGCCGGCCTCCAGTATGTATTATGCTTGTCTTCTTTATTCCTTTAATAGTGACCATGTTAATGAGTTTATATGAGTTGTTAATTCTAGTGCTAGTATGGCTAATACTTAAAAACAAATTCAGTAACACAATAGATTGGAAACTTTGTTTCACATAAATTGTCTTGGCAGTGATCAGGAAAAGGAAACGATTGTCCTATGATTTTGTTGCCCTCCTTCTCTTTGTAAATAAATGGTAGTCCATGTGAAGGCATAGAAGAAGGTCACTAACAATGAATGAGGTTTAGTTAGTTAAGACTTCCTGCTTTTCAGATGCAACTCTGATTCCTTATGAGCTCCCAAGTACTATTTTGGAGTTTGGGGCCAGTCTCAGATTATATTCTCATTGATAACCTGATTGGGAAGTTTAGAAGAGCTCTAGATAATCCTACTTTGAGAGATAGCTTAATGTATTGTAAGAGCATCAGTCATAATTTAAGCGTGCATAAACCCTCTAGAAGATACTCTTATCTACTTGTCAAGGGGTTAAGGGTTATACTGTTCTACGTTTTCTTTTTGATGTGATTTGCTATTAGTAGTTTTTTTTTTCTATTTTATGAAAGTTCTTCTAATGGAAACTCTTAGCCTCCTTTTAATAGGAGACATCATATAATGAACCTCCCATATAGCCATTACCCAGCTTTAGCAGTTATCAAATCATGGCCAATCTTGTTTCATCTCTTCACCCCTCCTCCTTTTTTTCCATCCTATGTTATTTTTAAGGTCATTCTAGACATCATTCTATCTGTAAATATTTTATTGTGTATTGCTAAAAATAAGGGCCTGTTTCTTTTTTTTTCTCCCCCCTCTCCGAGATGGAGTCTCACTCTGTTGCCCAGGCTGGAGTGCAATGGCACAATCTTGGCTCACTGCAACCTCTGCCTCCTGGGTTCAGCGATTCTCCCACCTCAGCCTCCTGAGTAGCTGGGATTATAGGTGCCCACCACCACGCCCAGCTAATATTTTCTATTTGTTTTTTAGTAGAGATGGAGTTTCATCATGTTGGCCAGGCTGGTCTCGAACTCCTGACCTCAGGTTATCCACCCGCCTCAGCCTCCCAAAGTGCTGGGATTACAGGTGTGGGCCACCGCACCTGGCCCTCTTTTTTTTTTTTTTTTTTTTTTTAACACTACCACAGTATCATTTTGAAGTCCCAATATAAAATATTTTATTAATATCACCAAATAGCCAGTTTTATAGTTTGTAATCATCTTATGAACATTTAAAATCTAATTTGGTGGTTAGAGTCATGACACAGGAATGATCCACCCCGTGCAATTGGTGGTTATGTTGCTTAACCAGTTATTGTCTATGTCTTTTATAGTGAGTTACACAACAAGATTGATTTTTAGATATAGTTAAGTCATTTTTCCCTCTTGTTTGCCAGAATTTTTAATTAATTACTCCTCCAGGCCAACCTTAAAGTAAAAAAAGAAGAAAGACTTCTTGTATTTTGCTATACACTTGCTTTTATCCTTTACTTTTATTTAAAGGAAAAAATAATGGGGGAAGACATGCAGTATAGTAACTTTTTGTATTCATTTGTAGAAGTATTTGGTGGTACAGTGTTCCTTACAAACATATTTTGGGAAAAGTGAAAGAATTTTGCACTTGGAAGCTGGCAACTATTCTAGCTCCCATTACTACCATGTGATTCTTCTGAGACTATAGGCAAGTTTCATTGCTATCCTGAAAATCTCAGATTGTAACTGCAAAATTGGGAATAAGACTAGACTTGCTTAAAGGTAGGAGAATGAATTGTCCACATGATTGCTTACTTGAATTTGTTCTCCCCCACTTGAAATTCTTCGCTTACAGGATTCAGATTAAGTGCTGTCTTCTTAAAGAAACTTTTTTATTTTTCCTAAAAAGAATTTACCACCCCATTCAGGAGGCTATTGTATTATTCCTTAGAACTTGTTTAAGTTTTATATGTGTACAGCTGAATCCTTGTAATGTTGTGCCCTTTTTTTTTTTGAGACGGAATCTCACTCTTGTCGCCCAGGCTGTAGTGCAGTGGCGTGATCTCAGCTCACTGCCACCTCCGCCTCCTGGATTCACGGAATTCTCCTGCCTCAGCCTCCTGAGTAGCTGGGATTACAGGCATGCGCCACCATGCCCAGCTAATTTTTTGTATTTTTTAGTAGAGACCGGGTTTCACCAATGTTGTGCTTTTTTGATGAAGTCTGTGTACCCAAATGCTTAATCCTTTTGTGGTAGGAAATACTTGATGTTTACTGAAGTTACTACTACACAATCAAATAAATAAATAGTGCATGTTCATGCCATATTTACAGTATTGAAAAAATATCAACCAGTATAAAAAAGTAGCATTCTAGAAACTTATTTTATTTATATTTCAGTCTGTACATTTACACAAATTAGTTTACATGGCTATCCGTACTTCCCCCTAAGTCAATCAGGTCCGTTTCTTGATTGTGCAAACAATGTAACATAATACAACTTCCTGAATTTCTACTTAGAACTTTGTTTTGACTTTTTATGTTATTTAATCCTCACACTAGTATTATGAAATAGGTCTTAGATGCAATTTACAGAGTAGAATACGAAGTTAAAAAGTGGTAATTTGCAATTTAGGAGGCCAAGGCGCGCGGATCACGAGGTCAGAAGATCGAGACCATCCTGGCTAACACGGTGAAACCCCGTCTCTACTCTACTAAAAATACAAAAATTAACCAGGTGTGGTGGCGGACGCCTGTTGTCCCAGCTTCTCGGGAGGCTGAGGCAGGAGAATGGCATGAACCCGGGAGGTTGAGCTTGCAGTGAGCTGAGATTGTGCTGCTGCACTCCCTGGGCGACAGAGTGAGACTCCATCTCAGAAAAAAAAAAAAAAAAAAAAAAAAAAAAGTGGTAATTTGCCTAAGGTCACACAGCAAGTAAGTGGGAAAGCTAGGATTTGAATTTATATGCTAACTCCCACACTGTTTCTCTTAAGGAAGTTAGAATGTCAACCTGTTCATTAATCTTGAGAGTTTTAATTGTCAGAATGATCAGATTGGAGTCCTGCCTCAGGTAGCTTTTATGAAGAAATATTGGACATTTTCTGTCAACCAGCTACATTTTGAACAATAAGTCAAGTTTTAAATGATAGCATTCTTTGTTTAGCTGTAGTAATACTATTCATCACTTTTTTTTTTGCAAGTTTAATCCTTTTAAAAAAGGGCATTTCTTGTATCTTTGGGTTTCATTTAGCCAGTCAAAAACAAATAATACAAGGAGTTTCTATTATAGGCAGTATTGTTTCCCTTATTTTGATTTTATGTTTTACTTTATTTTATTTTATTTTTGAGACAGGATCTCACTCTTGTCACCCAGGCTGGAGTGCAGTGGCACAGCTGTGGCTCACTGCATCCTCAAACTCCTGGGCTCAAACAGTTCTCCCACCTCCTGTTGGGACTACAGGTGCACGCCACCACGCATGGCCGATTTATTTTTGTGTGAAGATGGGGTCTCACTATATTGTCCAGGCTGTTCTCAAATTCCTGGGCTCAACTGATTGTCCCACCTCAGCCTCCCAAAGTTCTGGGATTACAGGCTTGAACCACTACCCCTGGCCTCTCCTTTTTTTTTTTTTTTTTTGAGACAGAGTCTCACTCTGTCACCTAATCTGGAGTACAGCAGCATGATCGCAGCTCAGTGCAACCTCTGCCTCCCAGGTTCAAGTGATTCTTCCACCTCAGCCTTCCAAGTGGCTGGGATTACAGGTATGCGCCACCACGCCTGGCTAATCTTTGTATTTTTAGTAGAGACAGGGTTTCACCATGCTGGCTAGGCTGGTCTTGGACTCCTGACCTGAAGTGATCCATTCGCCCGCCTCAGCCTCACAAAGTATTGGGATTACCGGCGTGAGCCACAGTGCCAGGCCTAAAGATAGTGTTTTACATTGCAAATCGCCGCCCCTACCCAATATGACTTAACTGTTTTCCCCTTCCGCTAACGTAACATACATTTTACTTACTTGCTGATTGTCTGTCTTCCCCAACTGGAATGTAAGTTGTGTGAAGGCAGTGTGTCTTCTGCTATTTACTAGTGTCTGACCTGCAGTAAGTGTTCAGTAAATGTTTAATGAATGAATGGTGTTTTAATTTTGTTAAATAAGAACTGCCCCAACCCCTGCCCTTTGGTGTTTAAAAAAATTTTCATTTTGAAATCATTTTCTAACACAGGATTCTAAGAATTCTGTGAAGAATTGTCAGTTGTCCTTCATGCACATTGTCCTAATGTTTTATTTTACTACATTTGCTTTATATTCTCCCTCTTTCCTTCTCTCTGTCTTCTCTCTGTATATGTACGCACATATACACGTGTAAATATGGATTTTTTATGGCATATGCAAAGATAAATATTTTGGTATCTACTAGTTTTGAACTGTTTTACAGTAAGTTGCAGACATGATGTTACCTTTTTTTTAATTAGTGTTTTGTAGAATATCTCTTCGCAGCACTTTATTTCTAATACTTTAGTGTGTATTTCTTTGCAGTCAAGGACATCTTTTCCTACATAACCACAATACAGTTATGAAAATATGAATATAATTATACATCTCATTTAGATTTTGCCAGTTGTCATAATCTAATACCTTAAAGAAAAGAAAAACTATTCTTTTCCTGAATCAGGATCCAGTTCAGGATTTTATGTTTCTTGTAGTTGTCATGTAAATCAGCACCTCTCTAACCTTAACCCCTCTTTAGTCTCTCATGTTTTATTAACGATTTTTTTCCCTTAGTTCTGTTTAAGTGAGAACCAGCACTTCTGTATTCTCAGCATTATATAACTTTCATATTTGCATAGGCTGAGTAGGTGAGGTAAATAATGTTATATATCAAGTTTCAGTGCTGCAAAAGAAATAGCACTCGAATATAAAATTTTCTTTTAATTCTCAGCAAGGCAAGGTACTTCTATAGAAGGGTGCCCCCTTACAGATGGAGCAATGGTGAGTGCACACTTGGACAAG